AGTAGACCCCGGCACCGTAATTATTCTGGATAGATGAGATGATCCTGGGTCCCAAGAGTTTGAGGAAGGAGTAATGGCTCCAATTCTTCTTCAGGTTCTTTGAGTGCCAGGCAACAGGATCATCTACTGTGAATACTAAGTCTAACATGGGATTCTGGGAAGTGAAGGAACAAAGACATCAGCACTACCCACTTAGAGAAAACAACTGGAGAAGTAACAGAAAGTTCCAGAGTGCTACATGGTCAGAAGAGCCAGGGCTGTCATCAGAAACCTGAGCAGGTCCCCCAGAGCGATGGTAACTTGGCTTCCATCCGTATAAATGATGACATCACACACTCACTTACCGTGTGTTGTGGTGTCAGCACTTGTCTGATTGGCTGGACATACAATGAGTGAGTTTATTTCCAAATGATCCTACAAAGCGAGTACGCTATTCCGATTGCACAGGAAAGGAAATGAAGGGGCAGAGGAAGCCCTTTGCCCAGGGGTGTAGAGTCCAGGGAGGCCGAAGGAGAGGTGGCTCGGTGGCTAAGGGCAGTGGCTGCTCTTGCAGAGGACATGGGCTTGATTCCCGACACCCACATGGTGGCTCACAACCACCCATGACTCTAGTTCCTGGGCATCCATGCCTTCTTCTGACTTCTGTGGGCACTGGTGTGCTCATGGCCCACATACATTCACACAGGAAAGATACTAATACACATAAATACTCTTAAAAGTTTGGAAAAAAAATCACTGGGCAGAGAGCTCAAGAGCCTACCACTAACGATGGGCAAATTACGCCAAAGTTGACTCTATACGGGAACACTTAACATACCAGCTGCGCTCAGAAGCGACTGGGCCAAGAAAATAGGGAGGAAAGATTTTCCTTAGATGTGACAAATATGAGTTCTGAAGAACGCAGCACGGAGAAGCAGGGGGGAAGGTAGTCAGGTTGGGGCAGCTGTTCCCCACAGGGCGGTCAGCCAGGCGTGTTCCAGGACCTGCAGTTTGATGCTGGTGTTATAAAACATAGTCACTGAAATGAGAGCGGGGTGATTTTCCACACTAAAGAACTTTCCAGAGGAGTTGAATGGAGGGAGGAGAGATTATGGGATGAGGAAACAAAATGGCATTATTAGCTAAAGCACTGTGTGGGAGAAGGCACCAGGTGTGTTAGCATGAATGTAGAGAACGGAACTGAAGAGAATAGGATCCTTCCTAGGAGAGAATCCTAGGTCAGCCTAAAGGAAAACCTCACTGAAGACACACAAGGTGGCTATAAGGAGGCTAAAGGATGCTACGGTTTTCCCAAGACCATCTCAAACCATTGGTGATATTAATATTTGAAGGCAACATAAATGGGGCATGGTTTTGTGTGTGTACAGATGTATGAGTCCGTGTGTTTGCAGGCCGGAGGGCACTGGTTGGTGTTCTCAGGTGCCATCCACTTTGTTTTTCTGAGACAGGGTCTCTTACTGGCCTGAAGCTTGCCACGCATTCTGGGAGCCAGTAAATCCAATGGATCCACCTGTCTTTGTCTTCCTAAGGCTGAGATTACAGGTGTGTACCACAATGCTGGGCTGACAGATGACTTTAAAACAAACCAACAACTGTAATTATGATAATGGATATGAAGTAACTATGCCAGGACAGGCCACAATTTCTTATATGCCCACAATCCATACTTTCCCATATGCAGCCAAGTTGGAGAAAATAGGCGGGATACGGAAGAAATTCAAGCAACACCAGGAGGTGAACTTTGACTGCAAAACATCTGGCCAGAAGCTAGATGCCCTATTGTCAATCTGTACACTGAATTCTGCAGACCACACGGAGCCTTGTCCCAATTAGACTCCTGTTAAATGTTGTCGAGTAGCTGAATAAATGCAGCACCACCTGGCCCAGCCTTACACCCAGGAATCATTCCGTATTTCTTCCTTATCTTTAGCTGTGACTTCGAAACTTGGCTGCGCATTAGTGTCACCTAGGATGTTTTACACGCTGCAAAAGTCTTAGGCCAGTGAAATCAATCTCTGTAGACAAAACCAGTCTTTGTATTTCTTAAACGCTCTGGAAAACTCCACTGACAAAGGCCAAGAACACTTAAGTAGGACCTGCAACTGTTTTTTTCCCTTCCCATTCACGTGGTGCAAGGAGAGAAACGAAATTCAGCTCACACCGAGGGACACTTTGGTAGGTTGGAACATATTACTAGTTGGCGCCTGGCGTGCCGGGGCTCCGCGGGGATGGATGGCACACGGGGACCGGCGAGGGCGGGCAGGTGCCAGGCCTGGGGAGGGAAGGCGGAGGCCTGGACTCACCTCCTGGTGTGCATTGGGTCCCGCCTGGCGGTACACCGCCGAGCCGTAGGCAAAGGCCAGGCTCACGTCCTCCGGGAAGTGAGCCAGGATCCGGCGGAGGCCCACGCCCGAGCTCTGCAGAGCCTGCAGCGCCATGGGCATGCCCGCCGGCAGGGCATAGGGTGTGGCACCGATCCTGAGCTCGCAACTCCCGGTCTTGCGGACCGCGCTTCCGTCCCGGCCCCGCCCCTCCACGTACACGCGCTTCAGAGCGGGCGGCTGGCGGCTTGCGGGGAGGCCGAGGTTCCGTGGCGCCCCCTGGCGGGAGGAGGAGCACGCTGCAGGTTCATTCTGAGACTGCTAACCTGCTGTGGAACCTTGCAAATCCTTCGTAGCACTCAAACCAAACCACGAGCTGTTCTCCATCATGCATATATTGCGTAAAGTTTTCTTTTTTTGGAGACAGGCTTTTTTTTTTTTTTTTTTTTTTTTTTTTTTCTGTGTATCAGTTGCTGTCCTGGAATTCCCTCTGTAGACCAGGCTGGCCTTGACGTGTAAGATGTTTTTGAGACAGAGTCTCACTTAGCAACAGGCCTGGAATTTGCTATGTAGATCAGGCTGGCCTGGAACTCATGGTCATCCCCCTGTCTCTGACTCCCAAGGGTTAGGACGAAGGCATGAGCTACCTCATTCACAACATTGTGCAGCTATCATCTCCAGCACCAAGTTGTAGGAGATTTTGAAGATTTAGGAAAAAAAAAAAAAAAAAAAAAAAAAGTAAAACATGCCTGCCCTACCACCAGGAGTTTTCGATTGTTAGAAACTGGCTGTGGCTTCCTCCTGTTCAAAGTCCTTTCATGTCTGATAACAGATAAAATGCTCCATAAAGGAAGCGTATTGTACAAACATTCCCTCATACTGGTGTTCAATTTTAGGATCTGAGAAAGTCCTTCATCCTTTGGGGATCAGTCTCACAAAGGACCTTTTAATTTACATGCCTTTTCTGGAGAAAATGGAATCCTGAGGTAGAAGATTTCATAGAGCTCTTTACACAGTGAGAGACACTTGCTCAAGATGGCAGGAGCCTTCGGGACATGGTTGAGCTCCCAGACTCATTGAAACTGTGCTTTCATCTCTAACTTGCACTCAAAGGCTTCAAAGACCAGGACCTCCACCTGCAGTCCCAGCCCCTTGTGGGGCTAAGACAGGAGGGTGGTGAATTCTAGGCAAGCTTTGGCTACATGCGAGTCTGAGGTTGGACTCAGATACTCTGAAAGATCCTGCTCTACATGAAAACCAACAACAAACTCTCAGGGCTGGGTGCTTGGCTCAGGGCCAGGGAGGTTGCCTAGCATGCACGCAGCAGCCCTGGGTTCCATGCCAAGCACACCGTGGCAGGAGCCATGGCTCAGGGCTAAGTTCCCAGCTCCCACATGGTGGCTCACAACCATCTCTAACTCCAGTTCCAGGGGATCTCCTGCCCTTCTGACCTCCAAGGGTAGTAGGCATGCATGTGGAATGCATCCCATGTTCTCCAGAAATGGCATGTAAATGCAAGGGCCCTTTAATAAGCAGGTGATGGTTCACACACATATAATAATAATAACAATAACTTAAAACATCAACCAACTCCCTGGTAAAGGGCCAGGGAGAGGGTCCAGCTAGAAAGTGCTTACCTGGAGCAAGTGTGAAGAACTCAGCTTCCATCACCAGAACCATGTAAAGCCAGACATGGTGGCCCACATCAGTAATCCCTGAACCCCTATGGTGAGGTGGGAGGCAGAAATAGGAAAACAGCTTGAGGGTTGTCTAGCATAAAGTACACACTAGAGGACACGAAGAGACCCTGTCTCAAACCTCCAGAGACCTTCATGTGCGTGCTGTGGCACTTCTGCATGCATCAGTATGCACACGCGCGCACACACACACACAGGTGAAAAGGATAAGTAGTAACATTACTTCCATCTTACAGGTGACACAGGAGAGAGCACCTCGCCCGAGCGCATATAAGCACGTGTACGTAAAAGCGGACCTCAAATTCAGGTCTGCCCACACATCAAGGTCTCTCTCATTCTAGTCCATCCTTGAAGGGTTTTGAGCAGGAACCCAGTAGGGCCAAATAAGCTGTGAGAAGAGACAGGGAAACTGAAGAGCAAACTCCTGTAGTGTCACCATGAACTAAATAAAAAATAGCCAGGCCCGGCAGGGGGTAGAGCAGGGGGTGGAGGCAGGATGAGCTGCAATGATGGTCACCTGCATTCATGTTCTTCTCGCTGCACTGAGCTTGGTGCTGAGAATTTTGCAGTGAACGAACTAGAGCTTCCAGCTGTGCAGGAACCCAGTGGCTGCAGACAGACAGTTAAACAACAAATGTGCAGTAACGCAGCAGGCACCCGGGTGCTAGGGAAGATCATATCCTTCCAATAAGGGGGCATGAATCAGCTCTGGTGGAGAAGAAGGGCAGCAGTGGAAAAGTGTGGGCCACAAGGCCAGGTCTTGAATGGCCTGTGAGGCGTTTGGCAGGAATGGGAAATCAGCTGGGTGGGAACCAGGAGCGGAATTTCAGGAGGGAAACGTGGAGAGGGAGCTGGGAGACCAGAGGAGGGAGGCAGAGTGAAGGCTTAGGCTCCCTGTGAGGCAACAGCACTGGGAGTCGCTGATGAGCCCTTACTCTTGGACCTGAGATGCACTCACCTAGGAAGTCCGCAGAACCCTTCCGCCTAGAGACTGAATGATCTGTGTTTCCAGCCGGTTCCTATCTTCTTTCTTGCCTTGAGGAAATAACTCAATGTTCCTCCCACCCTTTCACTGGCAGGAGTAATTCATGCTCATAAAAATGTAAGCATTACAAACTATGTATCTCATTCCCCTGAGGTAACCACTGGAAATCTTCAGTACATGTTCTTCCAGAGAGTCTTATGAATATATTAACATTAAAAACATTTTAAAATGGAATTGGATGATGGATATTATTTTTCAATTTGCTCCCCCCCACCTCACATATCTGGCATCTTCACCAGAGTATATAGATTTATTTTATTCAGTCTATAAGCAGAGAATTATTCTACAGTATAGATATTCTGTATTGCTGGGCATAGATTATTCCTTTTTTTTTTTTTTTTTTTTTGCACTCCTGGTATTTCGACACAGGGCCTTGCATATAGCAGCTAATCCTGTAATACCAAGCCAACCCCCAACTCCATTTCTAGTTTTCACACGTGAATATGGTACTACAGTGAATATCTTTTTGGTTATCCCTTTAAAAATGTTTTTACATTTATGTGTAAGCACATATATGCTATGACATGCTGTGGAGATCAGTTTGGAGGAACTGTTTCTCTGTTTTCCCCATGAGGTTTCCAGGACTCCAACCTAGGTCATAAGGCTGATTGGCAAGTGCTCTTATCTTCTGGGCCATCTCTCCAGACCGCTGGGTATTTCTTTTTGTGCATGCTAAGTATTATATTGATATAAAATTGATTCCCAGGGCTGGCAGGATGACTCAGCAGTAAAGGTGCTTGCTATGAAAGCTAAACAACCTGACTTCAACTCCTAGCACCTTCAGGAGGACGGAGGGAGAGAACAACTCTACAAAAGTTGCCCTTTGACCTTTATGCACACAGGCTGTAGCATGCACACACCCATATGCATAACACACACACACACACACACACACACACACACGCTAATAAATAATTCCTAGAAAGCTTGTTGCCTAGAAGTGAAATTGCTGGGTCAAAGTGTGAGCACATTGCTCAACTCCCCTGCAAAAGACACACGAATTCTCACAGCCACCAACATGGCTCAGCCCCTGATAGAAATAAAAAGGCTATAATGTGTCACCGTTTTTCTCCCTTACAGGCTTTTACATCTAATTATCAGTCATTTTCTTTTTCACAACAGACTCCCTCCTGCTAACACAAAACCACCAGCTGGAAAGTTCCATCCCACTCTTGTGTGCATTTTTTTTTTCTTTCTCCTCTGCCCAGGAAGAGGCAGAAGCAGAGAGGCAGAGAACACATTTGTATTCTCCAGCAGAAATCCCACTGCTCCCTTCAGCTCATCCGCTCTGGTTTAAATTACCGTGGCTTACTGCGTTAGGAGCTATTAAAAAGCCCTGGCGTTCTATCTAATAGCTCTAAGGTTCTGATGGAAAGCTCATGCCAACAAAATAAAAATGTTTGAGAGCCATTTCCGAAGATAAATGCCACTTGATTTCAGTGAATGCTGGGTCTCATGATCTAGCTTATCTAGCAGGTGTCTCTGTATTCCTTAACAAGGACGTTGCCAGGCAAGGATTTGCAGGGAACACTCACCCAGGCTGTGCGGTAGAGCCCCGTACAAAGCCCATAGCTTGTAGGCCTTGGTTTTTCTTTTCATCTGTGTTTTTAAAAGAACAGGGAAAAAAATGATTGGTGAAAAGTTCTGGTTCTACTATTCCTTTATTTTTATCCTTGATATGGGGATTGGGGTCCAAGGGCTCCATGCTCTGGGTTCAGATGTCCCCTGAGATCTGGGGATCTGGGGTGTTTACAACTGAAGCATTTGTTTAGCCATTTGCTGGCAAAATGAGAGAGGTCTTGATCCGTCTTCCTTTTTCTTTTAAAATAAAGAAATTTTATTTTATACTCTAATTTTAAAAATTACTCTGATTTTTTTTTTTTTAAATGGATGTGTGTGGCTGGAGGGATGGCTCAGCCATTAAAGGCTAGGCTCACAACCCAAACATAAAAATGTTGTGTGTCTTCATGTAACTGTAGGCACATGTGCATGTGAGTGCCTGTGGAGGCCAGAAGAGGGCGTTGGACCTCCAGGGACTGGAGTTCTAGGCAGCTGTGAGCTATGTGATATATATGGCTCCCCTGGAAGAGTAGCATGTGCTCTTAACCACTGAGCCGGCTCTCCAGACCTTTAATGTGTATATTAAAAAAAAATAATTTGTTTCACTTGTGGTGCATGTATACGTGCACCATGTGAATGCTGGGAAATCCAAGGAGGCCAGAATAGGGCATCAGGTCCCCTGGAACTAGAGTTAGCAGAGATTGTGCGGCACGATGTGGCTGTTGGGAACTGAACCCAAGTCTTCTGCAAGAGCAGCAAGTGCTTCTAACGTTTACGATGCCTCCAGCCCCTTGATCCCTGTCTCATCAAAGGGGCTCATACTGTCACATTTGTGCCATTGATGTGTCACAGCTAGGCCAGATTAGCAGAGTGGATTTCTGCCTCCTAAATGCTGGGAATCAAACCCAG